CAGTCTCATGCCGTTGAATTTCTTGGTTTCTGACTTTATTGAGGCCATTTCTTTATCATCGAATATCTTTTGTTCTTGAATATTCCTCTCGATGCGTGATGTTTTTTGAGCGTCGGATTCGTTTTCCGGCCGATTTTCCAATGTTGGGGGAGGTGGGTGATATCGTTCCGTTGGATTCAAAAGATTTTCGATGTCGATATTCTCTTTCGCGATTATTGCTAGCTGGAATAGATCGCTCCACTCTTCCCAAGGAATTGGTGGGTCCACTGTGTGGTTTTGCCAAAATGAAGGTATACCTCTCACGTTTGATTCGTTGCTGTTTGACTGCGCCATGATAAAATGTTCCTTTGTTACGGTTAATTCTATTTAGTTACAAATAAGATATGTTTAAAAAGTGAATTAATCTCTAAGTTAAAACATTAAAATAGTGAACGGTCATTCTCTCCGTCGGAGAGAATGAAGATAGCAAGGTCAAATCAAGATTAACCAGTTAAGATACTTTAAAGTAATTAGTGAAATAAAACAAATGGTAAGAATCACAACAATCTTAGAATCAGAAACTTAAAAATTTTGAGGAAAAAAACTTTGAAAAATTAAAACGAAAAATTTTATGATTTTTTGTTTTTCTTGTTTTTGTCTTCAAAAATTGTTTCAATTGGGATATTTTACAATGACTGGCGAAAATGCCTAAGCTCATCTTTTTCGCCGAGATTTTTTTTCAGACCACGCCGAAAAATAACGACACTAGTTTGAATAATAATAATGTTGTAATTTTTCAAGACTGGTCCGAACATTCTGTGCTACTTGCACGCTAAGCCGGCTATCTTTGATTTTTTTTGTACTTGTTTTTTGTATCTACCAATTTAAGGCAGCCCTCTTTGATTTTCTTGTAATGATAAGTCTACGATTTGGGAGACAGCTGTTGACCATGGCATTACCAAATTTGAATAGATTTGTCAAAGCAAATTTTTGTAAAAAAAAAATCATTTTGCCATGAAAATGCTATGAACCTGCTAGTCATAGCCACTCGAATCCGAAAAACTTAAACTTGATTATTTGCTATTTCATAGAATTCAACGACATCAAATCAAATATGTGATAGATTGCACTCAACTGAAATAAGTTGAAAAGCAATCCTATGGTTTTATTAGTAGCTCAAAAAATCCATTTTTTTCCTTGCACAAACACAATTCCTTCTTTTTTCCAGCTTGGTTCGTTCATCACAGTTGAAAAACTTTTTCCAATGTGTTATCAGAGTTGCCTTTTATTCCAGTTTTTGGTGGTCCATTGATCCGGAAATTGTCGGGGCTGTTGAAGGCTTTGGTTTTTACTGCTTCTGATTACGTCTTCAAATAGTATCTGTGAGTCTTGTTGGTACACACACTCTATATCTAAATTCTATGCCAGCTACTGCAATACTGGCTTTTACTGAATTGATCCAACAATACTACAATCAGAAGATCATACAGTTTGCGGTCTAATTTTGTGTAAGGAATATTTGTCTTATAATTCATCCATTTTTTGTGCAATGTTGTCATGTGGTTCGTCATTTGAGCATTGTCATCGCATGGGGTCAATGGTATGCATCCCATTTTGTTTTTGGAAATCGATAATGATGTGATTCGATACTGGCGTAACTTCTCAAATTCTCAGTGGTTGATAGTTATTGCTCCGACCATTGAAAATGGGGAGTAACTTTGTATTCGGGTGTGTTTTATTTTTTTTCTATTTGTTTCCCACATAAAATCAGGTACCCAAAATAGACATCGGACTGGGTAGACATCACGACTGAAAGGGACGGGGTCATATTAAAGCCCTTTCAGTCGTGATTCGAACCACATTAAAAGATTCCCAATTTTTTTCTAGTGTCAAGAAAAACGGGTTTAAAGTTTTCGATTTTTCTTCTAAATTCGAGCCTGTGAGCAGGCTTACATTAGCTCATTTATGCTTGATTTAAGCCTTGATAATTCAGTTTTTTTCAAGTGAAGTTAGTTTTTGAAGTTTTTAGCGCCCTATTAGGTATCAAAAAGATCAAAAATTTCAGAAAAAAACTTTGAAAATGTTTCTAGTAATTTTTCTACAAAAACTGTTTTTTTTTTCAATGTGCCTGTTTTACTATGACTGTGAAATATGCCTAAATTCTAGTTTTTTGTTCAGACCTTTTTTATCACACCACACAGAAAAAACAAAACCAATATGAGACGACTACCAACCGGCTATCCTTGTTATTATTGACATCAGTTGTTCCATTATTAGAAAAGTGACCATGCTCTCGATTTGCATCAGTAGTTAAGGGTTGTCATTAGCTTTCACTGAAACATTTTATAAGTTTACAATCATTCCGACCACCCTCAAAAGAGAGAGAAACTCTGGTCTAGGTATCTATTTTTCACCTTAAGTCATGTAACCCAATTAAACGTCAAATGAAATAGAGTGAATATATATTATATTGAAGCTTTTCGGTCCTGATTCTAGCTCGATAAAAGCAAACAAGAATTTGTTTTCATATGTTAATTCAATTGAATCCTCTTCTGGAACGCAAACTTTGATCAGTCATTGAGTGATGACACTGTCAGGTTAGATTGATTCTCTAGGTTCGTTTTCCCTCTCTCTCTTAATGACACCACAAAGTGGTTCCCTGGGTAGTGAATTCATGGAGGCGACCGAGATTCACTAGTATCCTCAATCCCGAAAAAGTTAATTTGGTGGCACTATTCTGTGCTGTATTATGTTAGTTTCCCTTTTTGTATTGCTCTTACGGCTGTCTTGTCCGCTCGAGACGATCGTAAGAATTTCTAATGCTAAATAGATTCAGATAATATAAGTCCAAACTTAGCAGACTCTAAGTGGCCAGATAAAAAAATCTAATAATCTTATCAAAAGAAAACGTCCGCAATTGATCACCACAATGGCCTGCTAGTGTTATAACTTTCAACTAACTTAACTTATTGATTCTCTCTCTGGAGAATCCCCATTAACGAATTACTCGCAGTAATTCCTAACAAATACTCAGTTTTACCTGCTAAATTTAATAGTGTCTCTACACATCACTGTTCTTTTGAATCGAGTATCACAGTTCTCAACTATTATAAGAACCACTTATCTGCTAAATTTGTAATCTCTCGTCTCCGACAATTGTTCTATCTAACTAACTGATAACCAACCATAATATAACGCAGTACCAACTGTTCTTAAACTAACTGAGAGCCAAACGTTCGCTCTCACAGCACAGTTTTTCACATACTAATTGAAAACCAACCATTCGATCTCACAGCACAGTTGTTCTCCCCAAGGGTTGGCTAACCGTAACTCTTTTGCAATACTTAAACTTTAATTATAGTAAGAGTTGCACTCGTCCCTGCAGGTCCTGACAATTATTTTAAAACCTCGTGCGTAAGGTCCTAACTGATTTCTTCCACTGACGACACTAGCCATGAATGCCAAATTCAGCATTGGCATCTCTAACTAAGTTGTTCAAATATCAAGTCCAGATTCACCTCCAAACATAGTTATGTTTAATTAGCCAATCTCCCACAATTTTTATTCAATTATCCCGTTAATGTTCCGACCTCCCAGGAGTAAGAGAAGACCATTTTCATGGGTAGCTTAGCTTGCTCATTCCAACCATCTAAAACTCTCAGCTATACTTTATTCCAATCCCGACCTACTAGCTGTTCAAAAAACGTAATTTGCATATTAGAGTCAAAATGTGCCAAAAAGCCAACACTGGGGGCTGAGTAAATATTTCGTCCACTCAAGTTATCTAGGAGACCTTCTTTTCATGCCTTGCTCCTAATACTGCCAATCCTCTCGGTGATAATTTTTGCGTAATCAGATTGAGTTTCTGATGATAGCTCATTTGCCAAGCTAAGCTGGGCCCATCGCCTGAAGCTCAATCAAAAATGAACCCAGGAAAAGGCTATACACATCGAGTCGCCAGAGTGGTTTTATTTACAGGGGACTTTGTAGTGGGCTGAGTTTTAGTGTCTATTACAGCAATAAAATCAATATGCCCTCGCTCATTTTTTTTTTGCGTAAATTGCCTATTGCCAGTTTAAGAGGTGTTTTTCCCAAGTGCTAACCACTTCCAGTCCAACCGTCATATGCTAAATAGATTCAGATAATATAAGTCCAAACTTAGCAGACTCTGTTTTTATACCCTATTCTTATACAAAGGCAAGAGGTGGTTTTTTCGAGATCTCGTGAGGTTGTAATTTCCTATTTATTATTAGATTTCTGGAGGATGATGACATCAAAATTTTTCAGATTCGACTTCTGTAATGTCGGGGGTACCTAGACTTTTAGAGCCTATCTTTATACATCGGCAACAAGTGGTATTTCCGAGATCTCGTGAAGTAATTCCTATTGGACAGACTTCTTTCAGCTCTTAATAAGTGCTATGTAGGGGCCTATAGGGGTCGAGGATTTTGTTACGTGTATATAAAGATTTAAGTTTCGGTTTTTTGTAAAGTATCCATAATGAAGTTAAAACCTGAAATTCGTCTAAATTTTGATTGTCCTGTTTCGATCACCTCAGGCTACTTATCACTCGACTGGACCATTTAAAGACTCGTAGCATACAATTCTAAACCTCTATAAACGAATGGTGATGCTGTCCACGGTGACTTTGAAATTCCGCCGAGTATACATTAGAATCTCCTATTCTACAAGAGAAATGTATTCATTTACTGGACGAATAGTTTGTGTTCTCTGTTCTTCAAAGATAATGTTTTTAGTGTGCCTAAAGACATTGTTTAATGAAAACAATTTGATTTTGCGGTCAACTAATTTCCTTTTAATTTTTTTCTTTTTGTCAATTTTTTGGCAATGATAACTGTGTTTGAAATTTTCTGTGCTACTGTGTTAATTGTACAGCAATCAGCTGCGTTTTTAAAATAAGCGAAAAATGCTACACATCAAAGCTTCATTTAATTTTCCACGATTCTTATTACTGAGATGAATTTTTTTCAGCTATGACAAATCATAAGCTTTTTTTTCAGGCGCTTCATGGACGAGGAACTTCGCCCAGGAGTCAAACACCGGTTACAGTACTCCTGTTTTTTCCAGCCGATGACCCCTTCTTCAAAAGATAACTCGGATTCAACTGAAGCGACTGAACAAATTCTCTGTTCACTCAAGATTACCAACTGTCAATTCTCTGACTGCGGCGAATACACGTGTCATGCACAAAATTCTTACGGGTCCAATTCTATATTGATATATTTGGACGTAATTTGAATTTTTATCAGATGATCGGTAAAACTGGCACCCATTTTTTCTCTTTGCATAAATTTTGTCTTAGCTTAGTTCTTTGTCCATATGATTTCATTGATCTGATGCATGTGTATATGTTTTTGATTTGAGAATCTTCAATTTAGTTTTTGAGTTCTGTGAGCTAGTGAAATTTTTGGTCATTTCTTACCCGGGCTGAGGTGTTCGTCAGAAGTTCCGACAAGTGGTAGACAATGCTTAAATCCTAATCCGCACTCGCACACAGACCTTCGATCCAGTCAAAGTCGCATCACTGTCGAAGACCAAGTGGAATTATATGTTGAAACACAGCTGTTGTGATGCGCTGTCAAATATTAACTGATCAAAAGGTTGAGGAAAACCTCAATTTTGGCATATTCACATTAAAAAACCTCCAATTTTTGAGAAGAGTGGGTTTTGCAAGGACTTGTCTCACATACCGATTATTCAAGACAATTTGATGAACATATCTTGAATGTCACTTTGTTGGAGTCAAATTTATTACTCATTTGTTCGGAACAAATCATGCTATTATTAAAAGATTTTACCGCATTTTTCTTTAATTCATGTGAGACAATTCATGTCATGAATATCCTCGGGGGAAGGAGATCTTATTTGGAGCCGAAGGGGAAGGAGTTGAGCCAAGTTTTTTTTGTTGTTGTTGTAATACAATTATAGTGGTCTTAAATCTTCTTTTTTGGGGTTACGAGGGCAAGTTTCACCGCTGGTCTCGTTAAAGTACCTAGGGCTGTTTTCAGTTTACACGAGCGCGCGATGCCATCCGAGCCGGTAAAAACTTCTAACACTCGACCCAGTGGCCAGATGCCTCGTGGTGTAAAGTCCTCAAGTATCCACACGAGGTCATCCTTTTCGAGTGGTTCCTCGGGTTGCGTCCATTTAGTCCTTCTGATGAGAGTCGGAGCGTACTCTTTAAGTAGACGTCTCCAGAAGCTGTCAAGTCTATCTTTTGCTCGCTTCCAGGACTTGTTGGACAGTTTACTGGTAGATGCTTCGTAGAAGGCTGCTGCTGGAGCGTAGACGAATGGACGACCCATTAAGAAGTGGTTGGGTGTCAGTGGAAGGTCGTCGTCAAGGTCGCTACTGACATGAGTTAGCGGACGTGAGTTGAGGATTGCCTCGGTCTCGGCTACGATAGTAGCAAATAGATCTCTTGATAGTCGATCAGAACCGAGATTTAGTAAGAATGCTCGTTTTATCAATGAGACGAGTCGCTCCCACACGCCGCCAAAATGGGGGGCAGCCGGAGGATTTAGGCGCCATTCAACATTGTGGATTTGTAGCGTTTCAGTTAGGGTGGTTTCGTTGAAGTTGATTGGTTCTGAGCGTAGTTGTTTACGCGCGCCGACGAAGTAAGTAGCGTTGTCAGAGATTAAAAGCTTAGGTGTGCCTCTCCTAGCAATAAAACGTCTAATTGCCGTTATACAGTTGTTCGTAGTAAGGTTGTCTGTCGATTCCAGGTGAACCGCGCGAGTAGAGAGGCATGTGAAGAGGCAAATATAGCTTTTTTCAGTTGTATCCTTTGTTGCTATGTAGAATGGCCCGATATAGTCAATTCCTGTGTTTTTGAACGGAAATGGGTCGTCAGACGGATCGTCGAAACGAGTTGGCGGCAAGTCGGCCATGAGTGGATGTAGCCCTTTGCCTTGGAATCTTCTGCAGAGAAAGCAGTTATGTCTTATCTGTCTGAGTGTTTTTCCGAGCCCAATGATGACAAAACTTTGTTGCAGGTAGTTGCGAATGTACTCAGTGCCGTGGTGCATGCAGCGGCGATGAGCGCTCTCGATCATCATACGCACAATTGGGTCCTTTGCGTTAAGAATTATTGGATACTTTGTTGCGTCCGGTAAAGGTGAGTTTCGTAGTCGTCCTCGCGCGCGAATAACACCGTTGTCGAGAAAAGGTGACAGCTGTTGCAGTTTGTCTTTGTTTTCAACTTGTTGCTTGGTTCGTAGTTGATTGTAGGTGTCACCAAAGGTTTCTTGCTGGGACTGTTGATAAAGGAGGAGCTTAGCTTTTTTTAGGTCTTCCATAGTGGTAGAACGTTTGCCGTTTCCCTTAAGTTATCGACAAAAACTATAACCCGAGCTATGACCCGAACTAATCGAAACCAATCTGAAAACCTGGAAGAATCGATTAAGGGTGTAGTTGAGGGGCTAACCGTTGTAGCATTACTTTGTTCCATTATTTCGTTGGTCCCCCAAATAGGCTCATTGTTGAGTAGAAATTGTGGTGCATCCAACCAGAGCTTTGCTACGTCTTTAAGTTCAATTCCTCGTGTAGCACTGTCTGCTGGGTTGAGTCTACCAGGTATGTGTTTCCATTGTTCGGCTTTGCATAAAGTAAGTATTTCACCAACTCTGTTTGCGCAGTAAGTTTTCAGTTTACCAGGTGAAGCGATCCAGGACAAAACAGTAGTGCTATCCGTCCAAAAGTGAGTGGAGTGGGGCTTTAATCGCATTTCATCAGTAGCGAACTTGCATAGCCGAGCACCCATAAGGGCGGCTTGTAATTCCAGTTTAGGAATGCTCTCTTGATTCAGTGGTGCTACCTTTGTTCTGGCAATCAAGAAAGTAGCGTGTATGCCAGAGCTACAAGCAGTTCGGAAGTAGATGCACGTAGCCATTGCGTCTTGCGACGCGTCGCAGAAAATATGAAGCTGTATATCACTAGGTGACAGCTGTGGACCAAGTAAGCGCGGCAGTCTAACAGGGGGTACTTGTTTGCATTGGTCAACCCATTTGTCAATTATCGGAACAAAGTCACTGGGCACAGTTTCGTCCCAAGAGATACCAGACTTCCACAAGTTTTGCAGAAGAATTTTGAGTTTTATGACAAACGGCGCTAGGATGCCTAAGGGGTCGAAAACCCTTGCTACTGTAGAGAGAACTGTTCGGAGTGTAGATGATGTAGTATTATTTAGCTTGGTTGTTGGTTGCACGAACATCGTATCGTCAGTTGTGTCCCATTTGACACCCAGAACACGATGCACTGTAGCATTAGTAGACACTTCGCCTCCATCAATGGAGTAGATCGCGTCATTAGTGTTAGATACGAACTTAGTTAGGTTGAATCCCCCCTGTCTTAGGGAGGATTTTAGTTGCGTAGTAGAGTCTCTAGCCTCGTGTGTCGTGTTGAACGAGTGAACGAAGTCGTCCATGTAAAAGCTTTTGTGAAGCAGTTGAGCAATACTGGGTTTGGTTATGCAGTAATCGGCAGCTGTTTGATGAAGCGCAAAGATGGCAATGGATGGTGAGCATTTTGCACCAAAGATAAGTCGCGTGTATTGGTATTGTTTGATACCAATTTTAGTAGGCCAAAGGAAGCGAAGCGCATTTTGATCTTCATCTTTAATACCTATTTGCATAAACATACCTTCAATATCCGCTGATACAGCCACAGGTTTTTCCCGGAATCGTAGTAGAAGTCCAAACATGTTGTTCAGGAGGTCAGGTCCAGTTTCGAGGCAAGAGTTCAGCGAGACGCCTTTGTACGTTGAGGCGGCGTTGGCCACTCTGCGTATCTTTCCGGGCTTGTTTGGATTAGTTACAGGGTGATGTGGGAGGTACCAAAGTAATTCAGGTTGTGGGTATTGGAAAGTAACGGGCTTGACGTAGTTATTTTCCAGGTCGGTAGTAAGCGATTTCTCATAGAGTTGCATGGTTTCAGGGTCTTTTCTGAGCCGTTTTTGTAGCGATAGCAGTTGAGCTTTAGCTACCGGATAATTGTTTGGCAATTTTATTTCGTTTTTCCAGAGCAGATTTATTTTGTAGCGATCTCCATCGTGCTCAATACTTTTTTCCATAAATCTTAGTTGTCGTTTGCTTTTATCAGAGTATGTAGCTTTGTTATCTTCCTGGATGCCTGATCCTTCTACTTTCCAGAAATTTTCCACTAATTCAGTGAGATTAGCGTCTTCTTGATCATTTAAGTCAATGAAGTTAGTTGAGTGTGAACTTGGTCCGGAACTATTAGATTTCTGGTTGAGTGGGCCAGTGATCGTCCAACCTAGTAGGTTTTTTACAGCGTAGGGGGTGCCTGTAGGACCTTTTCTGATATCGCGCTCCGCTATATTCCAGAAAGCATCTACGCCAAGCAAAATTTGAACTGTGTTGTCGCCTAGTTCAGGAAAGTTGACATGTCGAAGGTGATTGTAGAGTGAGCACGTTTTGTTAAGGTTGTTTGCGTCGATAGCGTCAAAACTCAGAGCTTCAACTGAATAGACTGATTGTAGGGTGAAAGTAGATTTTGTAGCGTTATGTGGTCCGATACTAAGCCGGACCAGCGAGGAAGACACTTTGTCCTTACTGAAAGCACCTCGTACGCTAAGCTGTAGTTGTTGGCTTGGTTTGCACTGAAGTGTTTCAGCTGTTTTGCTGAGGATATATGAGCAGCTGCTGCAGTTGTCGAGTATGGCGTAGCAATCTAGTTTGATGCCATTGTTAAACAGTGTTACCGGCATAAATTGTAACTGATTTCTGATGTTGTTTATATTTTGGATTGGATCCTCAGCTTGTTCCGAGGGCTTGGTTACTGTAGTGCCAAGCTGCATGTTATTTGATTTTTGGTTGTGCGTTTGAAACGGTTTTTTGTCGATGTGTAGAGTTGAATGGTGTTTCCCTCCGCAGTTGTTGATGAAACATCGCTTAGACGATGTGCATTCACTAAATCTGTGTTGGCCTAAGCAGTTGAAGCACAGCTTATGTTGCTTCACCAGCTCTGCCCGTTGATCTACGGGAAGTTTCAAAAAGTCCGGACATTTTCCAACGTAGTGAACTTGGTTATCTATTGGACATGTTAAAGTTGTTGGTCTTGCTGATATGCCTGAAGATTTGTCGTAGTTTTGCCTGGACATAGAAGTAAATTGGTTGGGTCGGCTGTCGGGTTGTTGTTGCTTCATAGGTTGGCGATTTCGTCCCGCTTGGTTTGGAGTCGACGGGTCTATGTCCAGGTTCTCGCATGCTCGCGAGTAGTTATTGAGGTACTGCGTCAAGTCTTTGAGTGTAGCATAATCGAGATCGTGCAGCACGCAGTGTTCTTCCCA